TCTTAAATTACTTAAAATTGGCTTCTCCAAAATTGTTCATATTTGGCATGTTTATTCAGTATAAGCAGCTCTTTAAAAAACCTATGTACGACTTCTCTGTAAAATAAATAGGGGAGCCAATATTTGGACAGATCAAAAATTGCATGAGATTTGTTTCCTATGTTTCCGACAACAATGCACCACCCGGTATACGAATGAATTTAACATAAAACTGGCACCTTTATATCAATAGGTATATAATTTTTTAGCATTGATTAACGCAAATTTTTAGCATTATTAACGCAAATGAAAATTTAATATGTGGTTTTAGTATTTTATATTTACAATAATAATAGTTTCAATTAATTAAATTAATATAAATCAGAAAACAAGAATTTGCAAATATTATGTCAAACAAATATACGTTTAAATAATTATTAAATTTATGTCAAAAGCAAACATACAGAAATGAGCATACTTATATAGAACAACTAATATTATTAAATTGCAAGAGCATAGTTGCGTGATTGCAATGATACGAGCATTCCTATTATATTATCTAGGGATTTAGATCGTTGCTAATAATAATTACTATACCGTAAATATTTTACTCCGTATTTTGCATGATATGTAATCATCCATATCCATCCATATCCATATTATCCATACATATATAAAAGCTCAAAGGTTTTTTTTTGTTACCTCCATCCCGCCGAAACAGCTTCGCCAATCTTGATGATTTTTTTTTTAAATGAAAGGTATATGTATATGTCTAGATTTTTTATGAAGCATTTTTATATCGTTTCATCGCTATTTCTTTATGTAAAACGAGTAAATATTAAAACATACCTGAGGAACCCCTTCACAGAATACCTCCAGAAATAAATTATTTGTCATTGTCAGCGGCGTGTCAATTAGATTATATATTAAGTTTTTAGATATTTTAGGGGTCAGTTCATACCGCTTGCTTTAGATACATAAATATTAGCACAAATGTTTGTTTAAATGGTATTAGTGATTAGTGAATTAGCTACGCAAAGCAATTTTAAGAAATTTATCCCCTTAGAGTGTAAAATTATGTTGAACAATTTGTTGTATGAAAATTCCTTACTATCTGGTCTAGAAGAATGAAATTCTAAAGAAAGAAATAGAAGAGATTTTTGAAATTAATCAACCAAATAGGTAAAGTTAGTCAAAATTTATATAAACCTTCGTGACCTCTAGATTATTCACATAAAAATTTGCACAAAGGATCATATAAAAGACATGAGTTAATTATTTAGACATAGAGAATTTATGAAATTCATACTCATAGGGAATAGAATAGGGAATGAAAGTTTGCTATACGAAAATGCATTACTATAACATCTAGAGGCTTTATTTAGTGACATCAGTAATATGAACTAAATATTTCTTCTTCAAGTCATCCTTCTAGGAATAAAAAATAACATATAAAGAGAGTATTAGTGCTCTGGAAAAAATCAAAAAAATCAGGGGTGTATATAAAGATAAACGACAATTGAAAACTTCAAATATTCAGTTGAAAACTTTATATGTCAAAGCTATTTATTTTAGTAGTACAGTTTATATGGGACCATAGGTGGGGTTCTATCCATAGAGGATAAATAGTCATTTCACTATTTATTATTTTCGAGAGATTTTCTTTTTTCATATTTTGCAAAATTTCGACTTTGGTTCGGGTTCTAAAACACCCTATACATTTTGTTTGAAATAGGTACCTTGGTTTCAATAACTTATAGAATTCTTAAGATTATTTATTTCAGACGTGTCTATTTAAAAGTTTTATTTTTGGTATACAGTGTTTCATAAAGTCATACAGGGGATAACTGTGTCATACAGAATGAGATGGAGATGAAAAAATAAAAAATGGTTTTTAAATTTTGGGATTTTTTTAAATACATAATAATATTTAAAAAGAATAAAAATGCTCTTGAAATTGGCATATTGTCGGCTTTTTATAAATTTTCAGTAAAAATACATTTTTAAATCAAAAATAACAATATCGATTTTTTGAAAGGATATACAGGACAAGTTTTAAATAACTGCAATAATTTTTAGCGGTAGTATATATTTTGACCCCAGAAACACGATTATGAAATTAGCGAATTTTTTTTTTGAAAATTTAGATTTTTTTTTTGTTTTTAGTTAAAAACCATAGTTTCTTGATAGTATTATGGCAACATTAGGTAGTAGATTAAATTTACCAGACAGAAAAACCACGAAAACTTCAGTTTTCAAAACCAGGTTTTCAAGATTTAAGGAAAATTTTTTTGTAATTTTTAAAGTAAAATAACTCGGTTATTTTGGAGTTATTTGAAAAACGCTAAAGAGAAAATATGTTTCTTTTATCAAGATCTACCAGCCCTGAAAATATTTGCACTTATTCAAGATTCGCCCTGTATAATACCCAGAAAATCGACAATAATTGCTAACTTTCATATGAAATACGAATAGCTCTAGAACTCTTAAAAACATAGCTTAAATAGTGCATTTGCAAGGCTCACTAGCTCTATCTATAAAGAAGTAAACAATCATTTAAATCAACGCATGGACGATTCGAGATGTAACGCAAACGTAGTCGCGGGAAAAAGCTAGTAATTAATTAACCTCCTAAAAGCTGGTATCCTTTATTAGCTTTTAATTTTGTTTAAAGCAAGATAACGATATAAAGAGCTATATTAAAGCATGCTGATTTCTTAACAAAGATAATATTATTTTCCAAGGTCTTGAAATATTTGTCAAGCTTTCAGTGATTAATTATTACTCAATTTAGGGTAACGCTTTCTTGGGATTGTGATCAAGATGAAACTCCAAAGTTATTCATAGGCCCAGTTGCAACATTACTTTGACATGCCTATACAGTGTCTCCCCGGATTTTCTTTATAAGAAGAAAAACTTTTTTATTATTCACATTTTGAGAAAAATGCATTCTTTATAAGAATTTTTGCTTGTTCCAAAATGGTAAATTGTGTTTATACATTCCTAAATTTCCATACCGCTTTAGAGAAAATTATAAAAAAAATCTGAAAATATAGTTGAAACTCCTAAAAATCAAAACGCGTTTCTATGGTAATATAATTTCGTTTTCATTCTTTGATAGATTGTTATTGATAGAACTTTAATTAATGGTATGTCTTTTGCTGTTTTAAAATGTTAAAGAAGCACAAAATTTACTTGGTTCAGTGCTGCGGAAAAGGTGATCATAAATATTGCTTCTATTAAGCTTCTTAATCTAAAATAGCAAAAAAATAGCAATGATGTCAATCAAAATTAATACTAACTCATCTCAATAATACTAACATAACTGAAAGAATGAAAACTAAATGACATTACCATAGAAACGCCTTAGGATTTTTAGGACGAAAAAATTCAACCATATTTTCATGTTTTTTTTATTTTCTCTAAAACGGTATGGACATTTGGAAAAGTATAAACGGTATTAACCGTTTTAGAGTCAGCAAATTCTTTTATGAAGAATGCAATATAAATATGACATAAATTAGGATTGACTGACGTATTCGTTTGTTTTTGGCCAGTTCCTGTTTCACCAGGAATGACTACAACTTTTGATAGGTATTTAAATAGCACTCTCGGTATTTTTTTACTTTATCCGATAGAAAATGACATTCTGAATAGAATGACATATCATATGTCAACTTTTGATATTCTCGCTTAATAAAAAATTGTATTTTAAATTTCAATCTAGAGAGCCATGGCTATATTAAAAACACTAATTTTTAATCAAGGGGCGTGGGAAAATAGATTTGATCGTCTAATGTTTTTAGTCTCTTGTCCTGGCCGGTTAAAAGATGCCCAAATCAAGGGTGCCTCATTAGCATATTCGGAAAAAGCATTTTTTTACGAATAATTTGGTACCACATACTTGGTATTTCGAGTCAAATTTTCGTTATGAACCAGCATATTATAATTTCAAATAAACCATATGCAAAAATGTCAAAAGTTGACATATGATATGTCATTCTATTCAGAGTGTCATTTTCTATCGAATAAAGTAGAAAAATGCTGAAGGTACCATTTAAACATCATAAGTTGTAGTCATTTTCGGTGAAACAGGAAGTTACCAAAAACAATAATAATTGTATACGTCAATCAATCCTAATTTATGTTATATACTAACATACTAAATCTCGTTTTTCTATCTGGAAAAATAAAAAAGTTATAGGGGGTGAGCCACTTGTGAGACGCACCCGGTATAAAGAATAAGTCTATTTTCTAAAACTCTATATTCCTAAATTGCTTTTTTATTAGGTTTTCTTATTTAAGATTTTTATTTCAATATTTGTTGCTAAATATGCCATTCAAAATAGCGCAGCATTATAAATATTTTCATAGATTCACGGATGATCTTATACTAAAGACAGGGTGAGACATAAATGTGCAAAATAAAAAATATTTCAGGGTTGGTTTGGTTTTTCAAATAAGTCAAAAATAACCGAGTTATTTTACTTTGAAAATTTAAAATATATTCACTTAAATTTTGATTTCCATTGGGTTTTTCCATCTACTACCTGATGAAATGTAAAAAATACGAAAAAATGTCAGTTTCTTTTTAAAACGGAATATCTCCAAAAAAATTATGCTATTGAGATGAGATTTCTGCTTTCTTAACATATTCCACAGGGTGTTTCAAACTTTCACCGTTTACAACGTAAAACATATCAACGTTTTGTTTTCGCTCGTATAATTGACAGATGGAAATTTTAATATTTAATTTAGAAGGAGATACTAAAAAGTTAAATAGTTTAGCTACAAATTCCTTGAAAAATCATCAAAATTGGCCCACTAGAACACAATATATTATACTTAAAATATATCAAAATTTTAAGGTGCCAGTTTTTCGTGCCGGTGAGATTATAAGAAACATTTTATTGTTATTAAAAAGAAGGTCACAGTTACTTTAATGGAATCTTTCCTTTTTCATTCAAATGAACGTAGACTAGCTATCTTTGTTACCTTCTCATATTTTCCTTTTTTTCTAGGTATTATCATTGGGAGCAGACGTTTTACCTGAATACAAACTGCAGAATCCAAGAATACATCACTACACCATCCTCCATTACTCCCCTTTCAAAGCAGTTTGGGATTGGATAATCTTAATTCTGGTGATGTACACTGCTATATTTACACCATACGTCGCTGCATTTCTACTGGGCGAGCCAGATTTCAACAACAGGAAGTCGAAAAAGTATAGCGAAGATCCGATTGTTATAATTGACTTAATTGGTAAGTCTGTATATTTATATAAAGTTTTATGTTAGTAGTTATACAGGGTGAGTCTTAAATAAGTGCAAATATTTGCAAATATGAGTTTTTTTTCGCAAAAAAAAGGTGTTGAAAATCGTGCATTTTCTTTTAAATTTTCCTGTATATTTTTCGAAAACTTTTTAGAACTGCCTGTTCACCGCAAATTTTTCCAGGGTATAATTTCTTAATCTCTGATATTACCATAGTTACGGCTTTACTCTATGGCTACGGCACTAAAGAGATGCAAATACCGAAAAAATCCGGTGGCTCTCAAAATTTTTCCAAAAAAAATCTTTTTTTTTTAATTTTCAAACTTAAATAACTCGCTTATTTTGGATCTATTTGAAAAATGGCAAAGAGAAAATATGTTTCTTTTAGCGAGATCTACCAGCCCTGAAAATATTTTCACTCATTTAAGACTAACCCTGTATATCGGGGTAGGTAGCTGTTATGTATGGAAACGGTCGATTTTTAGGTCAAATATAGGAGGTGCCGCAAAAAGTTGAATACAAAATTTATATAGGATTTTTAAATATCTATTAGCGAGTAATAAATTTAAGTATACAGGGTCGGTCATAAGTCGTGGCACATAAAAGTTTCATTTTTTAAATAGAAACCCCTGTATATCACTGCATATTTCAATTCTTCCAAACTGCCATATTTCAATAATTCCTTCTAAACAAAAATCGAAATACACACAATGTATCTCAAACCAACCGTTTCCGAGTTATTGACTTTTGAAAATATCACTTAAACAATTTGATTTAATTAATTTCGGTATGTTCAGTTTCATTTAACGATGCCGTTCTGTCGAAACTGTTATACTTAATAATATTTGACATTAGTTCTCAAGTTAGCATTTATAGATGTATAAAATGAGATTATATCAAGTCTGGAAATTACAAAATTTTCATTTAACATTTCAATTCTTCAATTATTTATGTACATTGTATATTACGATTATTGCTTAAAATTGAACGAAGAATTAAAATATACAATAATATACAGGGGGTTTCATTTAAAAAAATAAAGTTTGATGTGCCACAGCTTTATCACCGACCCTGTATACTTAAATTTACTAGTAGCTAATAGGCATTTAAAAACCTATTACAACAGTATCACCAGTTTCGGCAGAATGGATCATTAAATAAAACTGAACATATCGAAATTAATTAAATCAAATTGTTTACGTGATATGTTCAAAAGTCAATAACTCGGAAACAGTTGGTTTGAGGTGCATTGTGTATATTGCTTAGAATTGAAGAAAGAATTGAAATATGCAATAATATACAGGGAGTTTTATTTAAGAAAATGGAACTTTGATGTGCCACGTCTTTATGACCGACCCTGTATACATAAATGTATTACTCGCCAATAGACATTTAAAACCCCTATAATTTATGTATTTAATTATTTGCGGTACCTTGTATATTTTATCTAATAATCGACCGTTTCCATACATAACAACGACCCTGTATATTTAAACACATAGGTGTCTAATATACTCGCAAATAATATTTTCTTAAATTATTGAAGCGAAAATTCTTTACGCGTGCTGGGAGTATCTCTATACAGGGTGAATCTTAAATAAGTGCAAATATTTCGACCCCAGAAATACGTTTATGAAGTTTTTTTGGCGGAAAAAAAATTGAAAATTTGGATTTTTTTTGAAAAAGTTTTTGTAAACTTATTTAATTCTTAGTTAAAAACATAATATTTAATATGGAAACATAGGTAGTAGATTAAGTTTAGAAGAAATAAAACCCAGAAAAGATCCAATGGTTCTCAAAATTTAAGCAAAAAATATATTGTTTTTAATTATCAAATTAAAATATCTCAATAATTTTGGACTTATTTGAAAAACCGCAAAGAGAAAATATATTCCTTTTATCGAGATCTACCAGCCCTGAAAATATTTGCACTTATTTAAGACTCACCCTGTATAAGTCACGAGTAAGTAAAACAAATTTACTTCTCAACACTTTTCACAACAAAACAAGAAGTATTTTAAATTCTTGTTTTTGTCTGTTGCAAAACTAATTATTAATATTTTAAATGCATGTCACGACTAGCTTCAAATAATAACAGGATCAAATTATAGTCTCAATTAAAATTCCAAAATGAACAAAACGTTCTAGAGCTTTGCACTTTTTTAATAAAAAAAAATGGAAAATACAGTAATTCTGGCTTTTATGTTCAGAGGACATAAGCTGTAATTTCTGTCAATGATCAAAGCACCATTTACTGCGCTCGAATCGTGCTATTTATTTGCCAACAACATATTACGATGGCCCTATATTGTATGTCGCTCTATCGAGGCGTAAAAAACGATTTTTTGACACCAAAATCACTAAATTCAATAATGAAATTTAAACCCACTTGCTCACTAAATTTAAAAATAAAATTTAAACCGAACAACAATTTGTAATTGATTTAGGAAATATTTTTAAATCTATTTGGAATTAAAGATACAATAAGAAATTTTACAATCTTAAAAAAATACTATAATACAGGGTGGCGCCTCTCATACGCCGCGGATGCTCCAAGGAGAACGACAGTTTGTATTGAAATGAAATTTTGTGAATGTATGTTAATTCAGAGCACTTTTTAAAAATATAGAGAGTTCTACAGGGTGTCCCCAATTTGTAATGTAATATATATTAATTGATTTGGGGAGAAAAATAAAGGAGAGATTTATAAGAGAAGTATATGACTAAAATGTAAGGGTTTTGACATATTTCACATTTTCTAGAAATAAAGAACTATTTTTAAATTGAAATAAAAGCTACCTAAATTGAATTTTACCCGATATAGCCTAATATGTAGTTAAATTAACTATTGTACTTTAAATCAAATTAAAACTTGATTCAAAAAATTATACAGTGTGAAACAAAATTAATATTGAACATTGGCCACCTTTAAAAGCATGTTACTCTTTTATTTTAAATTTAACACCCAGTATATTATTCCGATATTCAATGGAGAATTCATGTCTCTTCAAATTACTGTTAAGGTTGCCTACCCCTCAAACAAAGTTTTTCTTAGATATTTTCATTTACATGATTTGATCTTTATTATGTGACAAAATCTAGGTGGCTGTGATATGGTCTGACGTTACTTCAACATAGCTGTCTAATAAGTCCAACATTAACAACTAGTTATCATTTTGTGTCATAAGCTTATCACTTAAATGCTCCTGATTTTATCTACTCTGGTTTTTTTTTATGGGAATATGTTAAAGACAGTGTTTACAAAACTCGACAAACTTTTGTCGACAACATGAGAGAAATTATTGTAGCTGCTTTTTGAGGTAGAACTCCACATAAAATTATGCGTTTTAAAATGACAAGATCCTTTTGAAAAGACAATCATTTTAGGCAGTTAACAGAGGAAAAAAAGCATTTTGAGTATTCGATTTCATCTAGCTAATTCTTACGCATAAGCGTATCATTGATTGATAGGACAAAATATTTAATATTTCGGCTAAAATGTAATATTTTTTGATGATTTAAAATTCATTTGAAAGGTAGAATCAACAGCTATCATATTTTGGAACTTGTTTGATTTTTGTCAGAAAATTCAGGGGTCTTTGAGATTTCTAAATAAAAAATGATAAGGTCCATTTTTATAGGTGATTACCCAAGCTTCACTTTTTTATCCGACCATACCAATAGGTATGGTAGGCTATTAGGATCGGCAAAAAAAAAAGTTTTTTTAATTTCACTCGAAATGAGTTACTTGGGTCATAAATAACTTAAATACAAAATATGTTCATGGTGTCTGTCTGTCTGTCTCTCTGTCTGTCTGTCCGTCTGTCCGTCTGTTTCATGATAACTCAAAACCCGCTAAACAGATTTTAACCAAATTTGGCACAAAAATACTGTGGCACCCGAGAATCTGGCCATTAGTTTTTGGTGGGGGTGGGGGGTTGGTAAGGGGGTATGGGAGGGGGTTAAACGTTTTAAAAAATCGTAACTCTAAAATTACAGTAGCTAGCGAAACGCGGTTTTCAAATTAAGATTAGGAATAATATTTGCAACAAAATTTGTAATAACATCAAAATCAGTCGCAGTTTTCGAGATATTAACATATTTTAGTATGGGCGGCTATACGTGCCTCCGGGCGCCAATTTTTTAAGAAAACTTTTGTAAATTGCATATTTTGGCACATATTTGCGCAAACGGATTTTTCGGTCATTTGGATCCATTTTTTCAGCTAAAGCTGGCCGAGCACGGTGTTATAATTTTTCACCTAAAATTATCCCAAAAGGTACATGATCCGCCTGAAAAGTTCCGGTCGACGAATTAAGCCGTGGTTGGAATATTCCTTAAGCTAAACATCGACAAAACCAAAACCATGTGCACTCCCCTGGAAGATCACAACAGTGCTATAAAAATCGGAGAAGAACTATTGGAATATATGGCGGAATTCAATTACCTCGGCAGTTTGATTTCGGAAAAGGCCAATATTGACTCTGAAATTCAGCACAGGATTAGCAGCGCCTTAAGAGCATTCTAGCACAAAGTTTTCTACAATTTTGACTTGAGTACAAAAACGAAACTTGCAGTGTACCGAGCAATTATAATTCCCACCATGTTATATGGGAGCGAAACGTGGATGGCCATACCGCCGACACATGAACGCATTAAACAAGTTGTAACAGAGACACCTTAGAAAAAACTAACTGCGAGAGTGTTTGAGTCACGATTCCAAATTCCGCTTAAGATGGGCTGGTCACGTATGCAGAATGCAAGAAAACCGCATACCAAAATCTCTGCTTTACGGTGAGCTTGTAGACGGTAAGAGGAGGCCGGGTGGACAAGCAGCTCACAATAGAACTCAATGGAGAAGAATTGTAAACTCAGTTAACAGCGACAACCAAAAAGTAAAGAGGCAACAAAGCAATGAGATTTTTGAATGTCCGGAGTGCGGTAGGCAGATACCATCACTTACCGGTCTTTTCAGTCACAGAAAAGCTC